AGACCCTGTCTCAATAAACATGAGTGGGGTCTGAAGAGAGATTCCTAATGTTGTCCTCTACACACATGAACACATGTGCACACATAGTGTGAGCATATGCGTGGGGTTGGATAATTAGAAGTGCTACAACTGGGAAGAACATAAATCCATGATTGGGAAACAGTACACATTTATTAGAGAGGCAACAGGGTGACTTAGAATGTGGTTGAAAGTCATTCAACACTAGTACATGTATGCCTACAAGCCATGAGCTAGAAAGAAAGAAGGAAAAGTCATGTTGGGATAGTGTGAGTATGCTAGGGATTCACAAGAGGCTGGAAATGAAGTGCCATTATAACATAGTATATTAAGGAAGAAAATGGCATAGGACAATGCTATACAGAGAGGCAGATGTGTTATTTCAAAACAGAAATTACACTACAGTAACAGTTAGTCAACAGTGATTGCCATAAAATGAAATGCCATGAAATTAAATAAAGGATAAATGCTGGAAAGCCAAAAGCAACAGCAAAGCAGAATGTACAAGGTGCTGTGGGGAGGGGATTTCTAAGAAGCAGGGGGTCAGCTGGGCAGTGGTGGCATAAGCCTTTAATCCCAGCAATCAGGAGGCAGAGGCAGGTGGATCTCTGTGAGTTTGAGACCAGCCTGGTCTACAAGAGCTAGTTTCAGGACAGCCTCCAAAGCCACAGAGAAACCCTCTCTTGAACCCTGCTCCAAAAAAGAAGCAGGGGCTCTTAGGATTTAGCTATGGTTGGCAGTCAATCTAAAAAGATAACAACAATATATGTCTCCTCCCTCCATTTTTTCAAAAGTCTAGAAGAATGCCTGACACAAACCTATCCTACATGTGTGTTTGATGGAGAAGCTAAAGTCTTCACAGAATAGTGCATAGATGCTAAGAAGAAGAGAGACTTGGGAGACTGGTCCAACTATACAAACAGATCAAAGAAAGAGAGTGGTGAATATCCTGGGAGGCAGCTTAAAAAGTGGGCATGTAGCTCATCATGGCACAACAAGAGGTCATGGGGAGAAGAAGAAACAGACAAATGCAGTCTTGGAGGAGGGCAGTAGAAGGAGGTGCCAGGCATATAAATACATTGCTGTTTGCAGGATGTGAGGTGCTGATCCTGGGAAAACAGGAACACTACTTGGGAACAAAGGCAGACATAGACACCTGAAGACCAAAGGGATGAAGAAGATGGAAGCAGATTTTTTCTCCCCGAACAGCCTGTTTCCTAAACAGAGATTAAGTTCTAAGAAAAGGAATGATCAAGAGAGCCCAAGGCTTCAAAGACAACCAGGATGACTTCTCCCCAGCCAAAGGTAAAGATCAGAAGCCTGACTCTGAAGATGACAGCAAGCCCAGGCCTTCCAACGAATGAGTTTACTGCAGCCCACAAGGTTCACAAAGGTAATCCAGGCCCCAGTGTTGTTATGCACACATTTCACCATCTCCCTAGTGATCCATTTGGACAAGTCAGTTCTGTCTCGTTCTGTAAGATACAGCCCAAGACCCTCATCTGTATACAAGGAAGGCAATATCCATTTTCTAGTACTTTTGAGAATCGGGGAATCTTTACACAAATAACAGGAAGCTTATTAGGCTCAAGCTAGGTACGCAGGACCAAGTAGGTGCATCTTTATTCAGGTCTTTCAGAATTCGTGGAAAGGCTGAATCAATTCAGAATGAAGACAATGTCAAATGCAGAGCATTTTCTGGGAACATAAGCCAGAGGATGCAAGCATCTGATAAGGGGTTGGAAACAGGTGATCTTTAAATATCCTTGCAGCCTGACATGTGATGCAAAATGCTGTGGACCAGATTGAAGACAGATAGAAAATGAGAAGCAAGGAGCCAACCAGCATCCTAATCACTCTGGTCAAAAAGGTCCCATGACTCATGGTAAACACAAGAATAAAGGGGGGGAAAGCACTCCACACTTAACCCATTGCTAGAGAGGCTGGAGAGTGATGCCTGCAGCTTTAGGAAGCTCTAAAGTCCATACAACTTCTTCCCAAGTGACACATGCTAAATGGGACAAAGGAAGGAACTGGGTGGAGGAAGCCCTGGGAACCTCCATATGAATAATATTTTCTCTTAATTCCCTGTTTCTTGCTATCCTTCCAAAGGAGTGACCCTAATCTTACAGTAGATGCTCCTGTCTATTAATGTGTCAAAGCAGACATGACTTTAATTATTATGATGGCATCTCACTGTACACGATGTTGTATCATAGAGTGAGTTCCCTGGACTGATGAAAACTTGGGAATGAGATACCCCAATGCCTCTCAGTCTTCTTGTCCCTGCCTGTGTGAGTCACAGGAAAATTAGTCAAATACAGTTGTAAATGCTCCTACAAAGTACTTATTGTGCCACATGTGTCTTCTGAAAATAATTCATTACTCACTGTCTATTGATAGGTCAAAATGGACTGCTGCATGAAAAAGATACTTTTCCTACTGTCAAAGGGCTTGGACAGTTGGAGTCAACCTGTGAACTTCTTGTGATAAGGTTTTGTTTGCTCCCCTCCAACTTCAAGTCTCTGCCAATAAACCGAGAATCCCCACTAACTGCTACTTGCTTACACAGAAGCAGCCCGGTTCCCTAGATGGCTGTGTTGGCTCACACACCAGAACAAGCTCCAGAAGGAAGGCTCTGCATGCTCCAGGTTTTCCTGCTATGATGGCTCCTTGGCTGTGAAATTTTTCCTGACATCCAAGGACATGCATTTAGTCCCAGAGCTTCCTCCACAGCTCCTGAGTTCCCAGGAGACAAAGACCCTGATGTCTCAGAAGAAACTTCCCTTCCTCCCACATGACACACTCACCCTTCCTTGTCTTGAAGCTGTGCAGATGGCATGGTACCCAAAGCTTCAGTGAACACATAAGACCCTAGGATCAGAGACTCTGTACCAAGAGCCCATGGCATCCACTAAGAGCATGCAGTGTTGCTCATCAGTCAAGATTCTGTACTTGGGAATTTGCCTGGTCATTAAAGTTCATTTGAACTCCAGAAACCAGTGCCTCTACATGAACATTTCCAGTAGAGGCTGCACGGGGCAATACTTGAGTGTCTATACTTAGATATGTATGTGCACTTCCAAATGGAAGATGAAAATGTTTATATTTATCACATGCAACATAGTTCAAAATTATTCTTCCAATTTTCATGCCATAAACAAGTGTACTCTTTGAATGGTCTATTCTAGACCACTTTTTTTTTTTTACATTTGGTGCTTTTTGTTGGTAATTTTGCTCTAAAATGGCTTCCAGGCATAGCTTTGAAATGCCATCCCATGATTCCAAACACAAGATATTGACCATATGTCTTATAGAGAAGAATGTATACAAGATGGGTGTTGATCAGCTGTTAGCTGAGTCGCATGTGAATGAGTCAGTCATGCATGTTAACCAAAGTGTTTGTGAACAAAATCACACATACAAGATGAAATGTTATATACAGGTTAGCTGATAAAATATTGCAAACCTAACACTGCATTTTCTCTAGGAGCAAGGGTTCAGAGTTTTCTAATTCACCATCCACATGGACTTTTTGGAAAAGAACTACCTCAAACAGAAAGAATAACATATGTATTCAAAACGGCAATGGCCAAAGAACACTGCAGAAGAGTGTCCTTCCTGGCTACCCCCATCCAGGGGACAAGCCTGACCTCAGACAAGCACTTAGCTGCTGGGCTGTTCTTTGCACAGTTTCACTGTATATCTGGAACCTTATCTTTTCCCTATGGCCAACCTTGATCTAGAATCCAGTTATCCTTTGTATGACCCTCACAGGTAGCCTCTGAAAACCGCTGGTGCAGATTCTAAATACTGAGGCAAATGATGATCTCAGCTGACATAAACCCAACACTTCTCATTGTGGGAACGCTCACTAAATAATCTCAGAGCCAGAGAAATGGAAGCAAATGCTGATGGGATGACCCAAGTGCTGCTGGAAGTCCCAGTAGGAGCAGCAAGAGTTATGAGATTTGAAGAGTATGACCCAAGTACAGAGATGAGCATGGGATGAGAAAGACCAGAATATAACTTTTCCTAGGCCTACCCCCAATGGATTGAGACATGAAAAAAAAAAAAAAACCCGTGGGAATCCTGGCAGCTGGAATTGTGGTGCTCATAACCTTTGCTACTCTGTCTGTATGGTGAGGCCTCTCCCTAACAGGTTGCTTTGACCCCTTCCTGGTGTCCCTGCTCTCCAGTGGTATCTCTGAACTCTCCTGAGCAGTGAATCATTCCCTAGGAGGCAGGAGCAGTGTGAAAGGGAGACGCTGTGCATTCGTATCATGGGGCCCATTGAGCCTGAGGATGCAGGAAGGAGCATATAGTTGGCTGGAGAGACCAGCCACCCCAGCTTTCAGGAACTGAGAGGGAACCTAGTAGGGCTCAGAAGAAATACAAAGAGAGTAGCTGCAACCAACAGGAAATGAGAGACATGGAGGAAATGGGTGCCCTATATTGTACGAATTGAGGGGGGATTCCTGGAGCTTGAGTTGGAATGTTTCCAGGGAGTACATATTTGGGGGCTGGACTGGGCAGCTAGAAATACATCTCTGTTCAAATGTGCTCACTGCCCTTCACTCCCTCCCCCTCCCAAGGAGGCTTCTGATGACCTCAGGGGCTGCTGTGCAGACAGAGCCAGGCCCTGTATTCCAGCAGCTAGGCTGGGTCTTCAGAGAAAACCACCTCCTCTGTGTGCCCTGTCCTACAGGAGCACCTCTCCCTCCCTACTCATGGCTATACTGAGCTAGGTGAATAAAAGAGGGGACTAAACTTTGACCTGTGGCCAGCCCTTCCTCGGGGACTCTATCCACTGGCATCTCCTAGCCCAGGCTATTCTCTGTGCTTAAAGACAAAGAGGGAGGGTCTTCTAGAAAGTGGGAGGTTACCCTAGAAGGTTCCAGAACCCCAGAGACATGGTTTGCTTCCACACCACCCCCTACCAAAAAAAAAAAAAAGGGACAGCATCCAATCCTGTTACTTACATGTGTCTGGCTTGTGGCAATTGTGTCCCTGGCGGAAGTACTGGGGGTTCTCAATGACTGGAATGCGGGTCATGCCAATGACCACTGTGTCGGGCCCAGCGTCCAGAGAGGAAGGTGTGGTGATGCCATGGTTGATGTGGTGCAGTGGGCTAGCTGAGTCTTCCTCGCCACTGATGACAGCCACAGGACCTGCATGAATCATGAGAGACACAGGACCTAGTGAGGTCACATCCACTCAGTACCAGCACTGCCCTGTTTTACCACCACGTTTTCTTAGAAGAGTCCAGTCCATTTGATAATTATTGCCCGAATTCCCCGAATGCTGGGGTTAACACAACTCCAGCCAAATTCTCTTCCTTTAAAATCACTGACTCTTGACCAGTAGAAATTGTTCCCCACAAAAATGAAATAACCACTACATGAGTCATTTTTAATTTCTCCCCAAGCCCAAATGAGCTCAGAATAATAAGCTCATGTTTCTTTGTTTATGCAGCAGCGACAAGACTTAAAAACAGAACCTAGAAGTAGTTGCTCCTCTCTGTCCCTCCTCTACTTGAAACACTAAAAATGACTACTGAAGAGCTGGGGATAGCCTAAAGTGGTGAGGTCCTTGCCTCATAAGCATGAGGATCTGAGTTATATCCCCAGCACCCACATAAAGTATGGAGGTACACACTGTGGTCCCAGTTCTGGGTAAGCAGAGCAAAGAGAATGCCTAGCGCTTATTGGCTATCTATAGAGCTCCAGCTGTACCAAGAAACCATGTCTAGGCTGGGCGGTGGTGGTGCATGCCTTAAATCCCAGCAACTGGGAGACAGAGGCAGGCAGATCTATATGACTTCTATGACTTCGAGGCAAGCCTGGTCTGAAGGCAACACAAAGAAACCTGTCTTGAAAAACAAAACAAACAAAAAGAAACCATGTCTAAAGAAATTAAGGTAGAAAGTAACTGAGGAAGAACCCAAAGTCAACATCTCACCCACATATACATTTCCATAGGTGCTTGCGCGCGCGCGCGGCACACACACACACAGAGAGAGAGAGAGAGAGAGAGAGAGAGAGAGAGCAGACAGAGATGCATACATAAAACTACAGAGTTTCACCCCAGAAATAGTCTGGGGTGCATGTGAGCATTAAGATTCTAAATGATCTCCTTTTTTTTTGTGAATATCCATCTAGAAAGTGGGAGGTTACTCTAGAAGGTTCCAGAACCTATGATTAGGAAATTGGAGGCCCCATGGCCTTTAGCATTGCCATCAAATTTCCAGAGGGGTGATATGGCTTTTTCTGGCCTTGGTCATAACCTTCCTTCACTCACAGTGTTGCCCTGAGCCTCACCTAAACCATGTTTTACAAGTGATAGTAATTAGTTAATAGTAATTGGTGGTAGCTGGGATGGCTGTCCCACTCTTGAAATGTCCACATTGTCTCAATACGTACAAAGCATACTAACTACATTTTCACCAACTCCATTCTCCCCATTTTCTAACCCTAAGACAAAACCCAGTGAGTAAGATGACTCAAAAGCACAAGTTGACAGAGATAATTAATGCTGCAGTCTTAGCAGAACAATGATTGTGTTTGGTGGTGTATTTCTCCCGTGCATACAAATAAAAGCCCTGTAAAGGGAATTAGCTGTGACTGTGGCTTTCTACAACTGTGTTTTAAATGGCTGCTTTGCTAGACACAGGGTCCCCAGACAAAGTGCCTGCTGTGATTTGGTTTTGCGGCTTGAACAATATTTCCACTGCAGAAATCCATTACATCTTACTGAAGTTTATGGAGAGAATATTTCCCATCAAACAGCGAGGTGAAGCACCAATGAGGCAGAACTAAATGGAAGACTGGTAAATGCAAACGGCGGACCCTGGATTCCACTCCGTCAGCACAGGCAGGCTTATTCCAGCCCGTGACAAATGGCTGATGGTGTCTAGAGACCGTGTGCAAAAGTGGCAATAAGTGGTTGCCCAAACGCCCAGAGTAATCACCTGTCTTGCAGAAAGGAGTGCAGTCCTGAAAACCCTTTCCACAGAAACTCATTGGGAAAACTTTCATAGTGACTTGCAGTGAAATGAGGAACACTAAGCCCCGGTATTAGCCACCACTCAAAGCATCACTATAATACAAAAGAACTGAAGGAATATTAGTGCACTAAGAGGAAGAGAAAAGAATAAACAAGACATTTCAACAACATTTGAAGTTGAAAAACATCAAAGGGGGGAAGTGACTCAGAACAAAACAAGAGAGCCATGGTGGCATGTGACTTGTTGGGAGCATGAACACCAACCAGGAGTAGGGAGTTCAGGAAAGCTCATGGTATGAGGGATATGGTGCACAGGAAGATGGAAGGGAGGCCCATGCCTCAACAAGACACCTGGGTCCACAGCCTTGTCCCCATTCCTCAAGAGGAGGAATTTATTCCTACAGAAGTTGACTCAAAAGACACAGGAGAAGGTTTGGATGAAGCATGGAGCTGAGCCCTTTTTTCCTGTATCTAGAACAATCACATTTGTGCACAACCTGCCTACCACTTCCAAATAGCCCCTCACCCCAGTACTAGAGGCTGTGAGAAGATGCTTCCAAAGAGAAAAGCAGAAAGAAGGCTTGCAGATGTTGACATTTTTGCTTTTCCTAATGAAAAGCCACCCTGGAATCATTTCACAGTGAGGCTGACAGTGTGCAAGACAACTTCATGCATATAACGTGGAATCCTTTCAGATTTCCAGAGATCAGTTCCTAAATATAAAGAGACAGTGCTGCATGCAAGACCATCAGATAGCTCAGAAGAGTTTCTCCACAAAGAAAGCAAGACGAGCGCTCAGGGGCCTGCAGGAATCAGAAGCAAGGTATGAAGAAGACTCAGAAAGCCAATACAAAAACCAATGCACAAAGAAAGCAAGATGAGCACTCAGGGGCCTGCAGGTATCAGAAGCAAGGTATGAAGAAGACTCAGAAAGCCAATACAAAAACCAATAGACTCAAAGGGGCAAATATAACATCAGAGCTATAAAACAAGACAATACTTAAGGGGTGAACCATTTGAAGGTAAGAAGGGGTCTCTGAAAATGTTCATTATCAATGTTTTAAAGTCAATGATGAGTTCAAGAAGTCAAGAAAATCTTCCAAAAAGCAAACTGAAAGGAACCACAGACCCCAAGAAGGAGATCAGCACCCACAGTCTCCTCACATCTCTTTCTTTTTTAAGAGTTATGGAATGTGGGTTATTATGGTGACATGGAATAATAGGCAGAAGATGTAACATTGGGTCCTTACCCTCTTCGATCTGTGTCTTAAAAGTTCCTGGAGAATGGCCAGTCAATAAAATGTTCTTTCAAAGAGGCTGTGACCTAAGTCAGTTAAAACTTATCTTTCTTTTGCATCTTGCATTGTTTTAGATTTTGAAAGGGTTGAAGTAATAGTTGTGGGGGAAAGACTCCCAATGCATGGGAAGGAAGAGTTCATCTAAGAAAGTTGCAGAGAAATAAAAGAGTAAGCCAGACAATAGAACCCCGAAAGACCCCAACATTTAAACATGGGCCTTGGAAAGGAAGCAAGGGGGAGCAGAAGAAATAGTAAGAAAGTAGAAAAGAACCAGAAAAATACATAGTTTTAGAAGCCCAAAAGGAACATCTAGGAGTTCAACAGAATCTACTCAGAGGGCAAACAGGATAAACAATGAAAAGGGAGATAGAGAGATGGCTTAGTGGTTAAGAGTACCAGCTATTCTTCCAGAGGAGCCAGGTCCAATACCCAGCACCCACATGCTGGCTCACAACCCATAACACCAGTTGCAGAGCCTCCAGTACCCTCTTGTGGCCTCTGAGTGTGCCAGTCACATACACAGTACACAAATACACATGAAGGCAAAACAGCCAAACATATAAATAAAATACAATAATTAAAAACACAAAATAAAAATGAATATTGAAAACTGGCATTTGAAAATGAGGAGATTGGCCTTACAGAGATGAGTGTCACAGAATAAAGGATAAGGCTAAGCTCTGGTGAGTTGGAGAAATTTCTATGGCTTTTATCCAGTCTTCCCAAGTATCAAGTTCTATCATTCTAGCTCTTTTAATCTTGGAACACCTCTGCGAGGTTGCTGGCATGATTGTCCCATTTTAAAGATGGAGGTAGGAAGGCATAGAGCAATGACTTGTTCCGAGTCATAAACCCCACAAAGAGGCAATGAGAGAATTCACACTCATAGCTTGACCCCAAGACCAGTGCTCAGAACCGTCACCTGGCACTGCCGGGTAAAAGAGAAGAGTGTGGGGGAATGTATTTGCTCAAAGGGACACGGGCTGACTTCTGGCTCACTATCCTTCCCATGAGCAGCTGCCTTTGATTGGGAGAGCCTGGGACAATTTTGAAAGGTATTGTTCTTGACCCTGAGAATTGGGAAAAGAGTGAGTCACCTTATTAGACGCACGCAGGGAGATTACAGATAATTCATCTAGGTATCTTACCACCACTGCCAAATATTCTTATTAAACTATGTCCACAACCAGAATAGAGAATGGAAGCATCAGATCATTGTCCACTACCCAAGGTCATCTTAGTCATCCTCACTCTAAAATAAAAGCCGATAATTGGCTATATACCCATCACTCCTAAGGATGTGGAAGAAGACTCTTGCCATCCCTGCCTGCAAATGGCTGAAACCAGCAGTCTCTCGATAGATCTATGGGATTGGAGCAACATAGGGCCTATGTGGAGATGACTGCTGTGAGTCCACACCATCCCTGGTCTGG